TTGAGTGAATGATTGCGAAAATTATTTTAATATTTAAAGTAATTATATATAAGACAATAACTATAACTAAATATTGAATATTATATTGAAATTGATGTCTGACATCAAAACTGCTCTCAAATAATGACACGATTTTTGGCTAAATATTGGTTAATGAGTGGATTTGTTATTATTTCGAAATTAGTCGACATTTCATACAAAAGTGCGAAAACAAGACTTAATTTGAGAAATGTTTCAAATAATAAATTAATTGATATTTAATTGATTAGTGAACTCACGATTAGAAATGTCCACAAATACGAAGAATGTGTGCTTTTGTGTCATGAATCCATATGAAGAGAACACATGACTATAATTATATGATTATTATTGAAAAAAGATTACAAAAAACATGATTTGAAAATAATATTACAAATATTTGTTAATTTAGAAGATTTTCTATTATATATGATATTATCAAAAGTGAACTCATTTTGCAAATTATCTCTACTCTAAAGAGAAGTCAAATCTATTATTATTTAGTGTTTTTCGCCAACAAATGAAGATATTATCCGAACTATAGTTTATTATTAGAAGAATTCAACAAAAATCTTCAAAAATCTCACCGAAAATTCAAGAATATATCCCCGAAATTGGCTTTAATTTGATTCACTGTTGAATTTTGTGTAATTTATTTCTCTCTAATCTTTCAATCCTTTGATCCCTTTCCCCCTTTTCTTGGGCCCCTTTTGGGGCCCATAAATATATGATGAAAGGAATGAATCCTTAAAATGCCTTAATTTGATTACAATTATGATATGCAATCAAATTGTGTCAAATATTTACCATTTATACTAATTATTGATTTTTTGCAGCAATTGATCGATCGATACTGTGTTTTAGGGTTTTGGATGAAACTTATGCTTTCAATGATTGACTTATTTTTAGATTAAACTCATTCTCCAGGACTTGCATATGGACTGAACACAAATGCTTTATATTTTACTTGATATTGAATTTTATTTATAATGTTTTATAAGATTTTATATGAATTGTTAATATTTAAAAGTATATTTATATAAAATATTTATAGAAATGACTTAATAACTGATTGTCTCTAGTCTTGCAATAAAAGGATAGAATGTGTGGATAAGAAGAGATGCCGTTATAAAGGGACCGAACATTATATACGGGAACATTGTATAGGAAATAAGATTTGGACCACTATTAGCACAAAGGTTAGCGCCGACACTCAAATCCATATCGTTTACCCCAAAGCTATTGAAAAACCAGCGGTTAAGCGAAAAGTATAGACAGAAAAGTACTGTATGTTCGCCGCGGCTAATGGTTGGGCTCTATAATGGTCTGACTTATGAGAAGCCATAAAACAATAAATGGAAATCATATGAAACATTAGTGTGACGGACGACACTGAATGCCAATGCAATGACAACTCAAATGCAAACCAGACGTATCGGCCAAAGACTGCAACCGTTGAGCCCTTCGGATGAACCAAAACTAATTGTCTAATCATTAGAAATCATTTGAATTGTAATGCAAAACACAATGAAAGTTCAATAAATGATATATTTATTTGTATTTAAATAAAACTATTGTATATATTTTTGTCATTTCATTGAATTATTTCGAAATAAATATTAGAATTTATGATAAGTTTGCATTATTTGATACTTTTTTATACAATATATCGATTTCAATGGTAAATAATTTACAATTCATTTACTGTATACAGTAGAAATAAGTTTAGTAAAAGTTTTCATACAACGAATGGGTATTCAATTTTTATGTTTGGAAAGCCTTTCTATTTCTGCGCCCAAAGTATTGAGATTTTCCTGAATAAGCAGCAAATGATTAGTGATTCAAACATTTTCAATCAATTCCTATACCTTTAAAGTAATATTCTTGAGAAGTGTATCCTCTAAGACTGCCTGCAATTTCTTATTGATTTCAAGCGATAACTCTAATGTCATATTCGTGTCATTGGGTGCGCTATTATACAATGAAGACATAATACCAGTGCCCCGCTTAGCCAGTTGTCGCTAATAAACAAGTCAATTAAGATTAGATATTCATTTGACAAATAAATGAAATAATTATATTTTCCACGACTTATACCTTCTTTTTATCCTTAAGTGTTAGCAATAAATACAATAAAATCCTATAAAATATTTCTCATTCAAAGCAATAAAGGACTTACTTTGTGCTCATCCATGGAAGAGGTGGAAAGGGCTCCCGATTCCTCTCTCATTATGTAGTATTGGATTAATTTTGACTTTTTCTTCATCTCTTCGATGAGCTGTTGATTGTGTTCTTCAAAGAAATCAATTTTCTCGTTCCTCTTCTCTAAAGCCTTTTGGAGTTTAATAATGCGTTCAATAAGTAACTGTTTGTCCACTTCTGGTAAGACAATGGTGTTTGGAATGGAAGTGTTGGTGGAATCGATTGAATTGGTTTGCGATGTACTGATGGAAGGCTTTGGATGCGATGATTGGGATGCGTTTGAAGTGTGCGATGAACTCAACACTTCATTCAAAGAGTTTAGAGAACTGGTTCGAGAGCCGAGACTCACGCCATCAGTTTGACTGTTGTTGGAACCGACGTCCAAGTGATCCATTCGCTTCTTCATTGACACCAACTCTTTGTTCAACTCTTTTATGTTAGACATATGTCTCCTCTTATTCACTCTCATCTCGTTCTCCAATTCATCCACTTTTACCTTCAATTCATCGCTTAGTTTTGTCTTTTCAGCCAATTTTTTGGCCAAAAGTTGAATCTCTTTTTGATGCGATTCTTTCAATTGATCCATATTTTGATATAAAGTAGAATTCTCTTTAGAAATCTCTTCGCACTGTTTCTGAAGTCTTTGGACGTCTTCTTTAAACAGATTTGACTTCTGCTCCAAAAGGTTGTGCTCTGACTGTAAGTTCACTGTCTTAGCGGTCAATCGTTCCGTGAACTCCAGAAGCTCTCCTTCTTTGTGTCGACACGACTCCATCTCAGCTCTCAATTCATTGTTTGAAGTCTTGAATCTCTCGATCTCTTTCAGTAGATCAGAGACCAGTTGTTTCTGTTTGTCTAACTCTAGTTCTAACTGTTCTTTGTCTCGAAGTTTGGTCACAAATTCACTCAACTGTGTCTCCAAATCAAGAACCGTTTGCTTCCATTTGCTGACACTCTGTTCGTGATCCAGTCGTTCCCTTTCGAGAGTTTGGATTTTTGTGGTCAGACTGTGATTCTCTTCACTCGAAACACTCATCTTCTTCTTATAGGTCTCGACCTCATGATTCAAGTGCTCTATTTTGGACATTACATTGTCGTCATCACTACTCATGTCATTGTCTTCACTCTCACTGTTGGCGTTCAATAATATCTGTAACTCTCGTCGCAAACCATCGCATTCTGCGGTCACTTCGAGCATCTGTTGTGACATCGCCTCGAGTTTAGCTTTGCTTTCGCTGTGAGCGTTCACCTCATCCTTCAGTTTATTAATGGTTTGCTTCCATTTGCTGTCTCTGTCTTTGAGTTCATCTTTCATTTTATCCAAATCGCGACTCATTTGCGATATTTCCACCACTTTTCGGTCTAAACTACTCATCACTTGTGTCTTCTCATTGGACAGCGTCTTGATTCGGTTCCGAAGACTCTCTTTGTCTTTGAGAATGTCTTTCATCTTCTTATCGAAATCGTCCCTCACTTTCTTCAGTAGAATCACTTCCTTCTCATTCGTCGCGTACTTAATAACCATTGATTCCAACTCTCGTTTCGTCGAAGAGTTCTGTTTCTCCAATCGATCCAAACTGACAGTCAATCGAGTCTTCATATCATTGAAACTCATCTCTTGTTCCTGAAGTCTTCGCTTCAACTCTTCCGTTTGGTTCTGCAGATCATTCCTCTCGGTCTGCAAAACAATTATCTGATTCTCATATTTCTCTTCAATCACTTTTGCGTCCAAATTCATGCCATTCTTAGTCTTGAGTTCACTGACAATGTCTGAATCACTTAAATCATTGCCAACCGGTTGTTGTTCATCCAAGTCTTGGTCCTCATTGTCACCATTAACTAAAGTCGAGTCCATCGATGGTTTGTCTTCACTGGTATCGCCATTCATCTCATTATCATTCAACTCATGGTCGACTATATCATCGGAGGTCGAGGTGTTATCACAAAGCGATATGTCATCGAAGTTGACGCAAATATCACCATCTTTTGACTCACTTCGCACTGAAGTGTTATCATTGAGTGAAGTCTTATCAATAGATTCACTCAAATGGTTATCATTTGTGACATTCATTGCCATTGGAGTGAAACTGTCGATCAAATCAATTCAAGTGACAATACATTAGCAAACAATTCATCGCTTTTCTCGCTATTAATGACCACTCGTTTCAATTGAATCCCATTTTAATGATTCATTTGGCGATTGAAATCTCAACACAAACTCATAGACAATATAATGTGTGAATTAATTGTCAATTAAATTAGTGGTAAATATGAATCCAATAGAAATGGATTGAGTGGTGACTGAAAGGGCATAACATCTGTTGTGTTGTCTTCACATCCATTCATTGAACACAACTGTAAACACAAGTCATGTGTTTGAGAGTCGACTCACTATTCAGCGCTCCTTTCGAGTCGACCTGAACTTCGGACTAAATCTCTGCAAATCAGACACACATTCAACACAATTAGATCCACTCATTACACCATATTTATAGCAATTTGGCATTCACCAGGATCATTACTCGACACTCAAATGAATACAAATGAATATAATTGTCATAAATTTTTATTTAAAAATAAACATCTGATTAGACATAGATTGGACTCTTTTGTCAATAAAATTACAATTAAACAAAAATAACATCAATTTATGTGAATTGAGTTCATATTAATTAATACTTGAAACCAAAGCTTAAACCAATAAATCATTTGAAATATGAGTGCATTTGTGTTGCATAGACTGGTCTTAAGACGTTGTGGTGGATGTGAGTGCGCGACCACTACAGGACGTCATCGTCGGAGTCGCAGCCAATCTCCGGGAAGTCACCGATAATGCAGTCAATGGGCCGAACAAAGCCGCCGTATTTGGGCGGACACTGGAAATAGCGGCGCCCGTCCACTGAACCATCGTTTTTGCCCAAAGGCTCGTCATATTTGACTCCAATCCAGATCCCGGTCTTGAAGTGAGTGTTGCCGACAAACTCGACGGTCGCCCGCCGTTTGGCCGCACCCTTCACACACACCTCACATCTTTGGCCCACATTTATGTCACACTCGAGCAGACCATCGCCCGACTGGTCGCCCGCACCGGCTGTTTGTCCTGTTTGTCCGAATCGTCCCAATTTGTTCGCCATCTTAAACGCCAACACAGAGTCCGACCTCTTTTGGTAGTCTTCTTGCGGTAATTCAAACTTCTCGACACCACTTAAGTCCTCGAATTCACCGACTCTTGTATTGGTGTCCATCACATGAATATTCACTTTACTTTGATTATCACTCAAATAACTCTCGAGTCGTCTCCCGTTGTCATCCAATTTGGTGACCAATTCGTGGTTAGTGTCCAATAGTTGCAAATCCATGGTCTCATTGGAGGCGCCGGTAATTAACTCGAGTTTAGCCTTCAGATCGGATATCAATATATTTGATGGATATCTCCTTTCCGTCGCAAATGAGTTCATATTTGTGGTGATCGACAACAACACCATCTCATTGGATCCAATTATGTCAGACATGGCTGTGGTTCACGCGAAATGACCACCGATTGCGATGTGAAGACAATTAATTGCTATGAATTGAAGGGACAGTCAGTCAGACAGACAGTGAGTGAATGGTATGATTGGTGTGAATGTTGTGGTGACTGACACTCACTGTCACACTGTCTGTCAGTTTATGACTCAGTGTTTGGTTCCCTCTCTCGCATCACATTCACGTCAAACTCTATTTGAGAACTTTTGCATCACTTTCTCATTCAAAGTGAACATTATATCAATACTTATACTATTAATCGTCGTTTTTCTTTAATTATTCGCACAAATGGTTTGAAAACTATATTTCACCACAATTTCCTTATATGATCATAGCATTACATTAGGTAGTTCAGCATTACATGTATAGTAAAGTACAGTATTGTACTGTATATGATATCTTATACGGTAAGATAATCTTATATGTGTTCATGAATTATGTAATTATTTCATTTATACGAATTTTTAAAAATTTTGTAATATTTTATTTTACTACAAGTTAGACGATATAAAAATATGTGGATTGACAGCAATAGCATAAGAAAATGTTAATTATTAATAGCTTATAAGGTTGAGATGTAGATCCTGAATATACAGTAAGTTAGATTCTTAAATGCTTTAAAACAATTACACCTAGAATAATTTTCAGAGCAATAGTGTTTATTTTTGACATATTAAACGATATAAAATTTAATGACAAAATAAATCATAAATTATAATAAAATATAAATTAGAAAATGAGTTGTCTTTAGAGATATTAAAATCAAAAATTGGTAAAAACAATGAATCAAATGGATTATAATTCGTTGGGTGTAGTGGTTGTTGGTTCAGAAGTAAGCTCTGGAGTTGTCACCAGTTTCTTACAGTGGTATTCATAGTGTCGACTTAAGTCTTAGCTGAGTCTCACATGTTAAGTAATTGCTCAGTGAGTTTATGAAACGCATTTAATCTGAGCTGCACCTTAAAACAATGTCTAAAACTTAAAAATTTAAGTCTCATACCGATCAAACTTATCCCTGTAAGTAGGCTTCCTCTATGAAAGTGTATGGGCTCACATCGGACTGAACTTAAGATAATTTTAAAATAAAGAGTTAAGATGGTTTTGTGAAATGGGATTAGACAAGTGGGCTAAGATGCAATGTAAGGTCCAGCTCAGATTAAAATCCAATTTGTTTATGAATACCACTGTTAGCGTTGATTTTTTCTGAATTCATAAAAACAATAAATTATTAAACATAACACAAATAGTCATAACTTAGTATTAGATGAAAATATACTAAAAGTCTCGGACGGTTCAGTGATTTCTGCGTTCAAATCGATGGAGTAGTTTGTGATGAACTCATAACTCACTCTCGAGTGAATGCCAACTATACAGATATAAACCATCCGAAAAAGACCAGTGATTGGCAGCCAAACAATTAGACACAACGCTAGGCTTCCCATGACATACAGCAATATTAAGACACTTTTGTTGATTTCATGGTTTTTAAACAATTCAAACGTTTGGATATCTTTGCAGTCAATCATAAACTTCGGGCAAAACATGGAACTCATGAGTGAAATGCATGTTAAATATATGAGACAATAGTATCGGAGATGTCTTTGCCATCGATTGTCACCGGAATTGATCGGCGCTTTGATGACATGCCTGAAGCAAAAGGCGCTAATATTGGCTGAATTGAAGGCTACACCACTGGCCATTAGCGCCGGTATTACTAATAGTTTGCAGTTGTTTTCAATCTTTTCTTTCAAACAGTTTGCGATAAATATGTCGAATAAATACAAGGAATTCATTAAATAAAAGACAAATATTATATTTTCTATGAAATCCATTTCGGGTAAAAGTGTCACACAATTGGTTGGGTACTGTCCGGGACTGGAAGTTTGGGAGGGAACTGATTATTAACTACATTTAATGCATATATCATTGTTAACATACGTTTTCACACATTTGGCTGGATTTCTGTCGGAAGAGGTACTAAAGAAAGGGGTCAACAACTGATCCCAAAAGGTACAGACATTTGGATGGACTGTCGTATGTATGGGCGCCTTATCGAGGGACTCGTAGTTTATATTACATCTAACTTCATAGTATATGGTATAGCCGTAAACTAAGTCTTTGACTTTAATGCCATAAATATAGGCCCAACCGCTCCGGCAATCATGAATACCACGAATATTACTGACAGGTCTTAAGCCTGTCTTCGTGTGAAGTACTATATGAGCGGTTCCGGAGTGGATGTCCTCGGATAAAATACTGAACGACAAGAGTTTAATGTTTCTCTTAGTTATCAAATCGATATATATTTTGTTTCTGTCCTCGAAATGAGCGGTCTTCACATAAACAGTAATCAGGTATTTGTGTTTCACGGACTCCATGTCTTCGGGATTTACTTCTTTACAGAATAGCTCTTTGGCTGTCAATGGATTGAGTGCTGTGTATAACCATTTGGTTAACTAGGGAACTGATTATTAACTACATTTAATGCATATATCATTGTTAACATACGTTTTCACACATTTGGCTGGATTTCTGTCGGAAGAGGTACTAAAGAAAGGGGTCAACAACTGATCCCAAAAGGTACAAACATTTGGATGGACTGTCGTATGTATGGGCGCCTTATCGAGGGACTCGTAGTTTATATTACATCTAACTTCATAGTATATGGTATGGCCGTAAACTAAGTCTTTGACTTTAATGCCATAAATATAGGCCCAACCGTTCCGGCAATCATGAATACCACGAACATTACTGACAGGTCTTAAGCCTGTCTTCGTGTGAAGTACTATATGAGCGGTTCCGGAGTGGATGTCTTCGGATAAAATACTGAACGACAAGAGTTTAATGTTTCTCTTAGTTATCAAATCGATATATATTTTGTTTCTGTCCTCGAAATGAGTGGTCTTCACATAAACAGTAATCAGGTATTTGTGTTTCACGGACTCCATGTCTTCGGGATTTACTTCTTTACAGAATAGCTCTTTGGCTGTCAATGGATTGAGTGCTGTGTATAACCATTTGGTTAACTGGTCTTCACATAAACAGTAATCAGGTATTTGTGTTTCACGGACTCCATGTCTTCGGGATTTACTTCTTTACAGAATAGCTCTTTGGCTGTCAATGGATTGAGTGCTGTGTATAACCATTTGGTTAACACATACAACACAAATACCACTGAAATATACAGAGCCGATACTATTTCGCTACCATTGACTACCATTTGGTCTTAAGAATTGATTCAATTGAATACAAATCAAAGATAATAACAGAAGACAACTGTTATGTATTCTGTTGTAACTTATAGTCCAAAATCTGCTAACTGTTAGAACATTCATTCAAAATTTGAATTTCAAATATACATTAATTTCTGAAGCTTATTACGAGTAATTAAATACAATACACAATGTATTAACTTATTTCATATCATATGATTTAAATTTTAAATATATATTCCGTTAAAACTAATTTGAATTTTTAATAAAATTAACGGAATTTCTGTTTTCAACGGTTTTTATAGAAATTCTTTAGCAGAAAACCCATTATCTTTGAAACCACTGAAGAATATTTTAATGGTTTCAATCAAATTCTGGTATATTTTGAGCTAAAGAAACCCAAAAATATTAAGTTTAGAATATTTATTTGCTTTTGAATTAAAGAAAAATTTCTCAAAATAAAATGCTTATTTAGTAAAGTTAGTATTAAAACTATTTTCAGAACCAAACTTGAGAACTCTCCGAGGGAACGACACTTCACTCCTCCTCTCCTCCGGAGTGCGATCTCCTTCTCCTTCTTCGTCGTCCACCACTTTTTCCCTTCGAATGGGAACGCCTTCGGCGCCGACCCCCAGACCGGGAGCGACCCTTTCGGCCCTTCGAACC